GCATGAACATGACCAGCAAATACAACATCCACTTTATACTTCACAAACCACCTTTCATACATTACTCTTACAGTCTCCCCTTCCATATAGTGATCCACATAACTACTATATATTGGACAGTGCATAAGAACAATCAGCCATGGAGTTTCTGCTCTGTTCACTTTTAGAAACTCCTTCTCAAGCCATTCGTACTGAGGAGTGTATTTACCTAACACACACACAGGAAAAAAAAAAATCAAATATGCAAATCCACATCATGAGATATCAACATAAATATTGTATGCTTGTGACTTTGTCTGCTAGCGCACAATCTAGTAGAGCGCTGGTCGTCAAATCAAATTTTCCAACAATTCCAATATATATGGACTCATGATATAAACCAAAATGCAAACTATTTACTATGGGTTGATTCCTTGATTGGCTCATGGAACACTAAGAAGATTCTAAAATTATGTTAGTGAGGAAAAATCATACCAAAAGCTGAATAAGAAGACATGACAATGATATATGCAGAAGCTCTCCTGATAGAGTACCACAATGGAGATGTACTATGAGAGGCTTGGAATGGAACATGATAACGAGCAGTATAAGGCTTGAATGGTCTTGTTTCACCCTGCATCGGCAAATAATAAGATTATTGCATCTAGCCTTTGCATAAACATCTGCCACAAATGGAGAGGGAATGTGATCAGATATTTTAAAAAAGAAAAAAACGGGAAGCCTAGCTAGCAGAAAGTCCAACTTAATCAGAAGCACAGAAATGAGCACCTACAAGTTCAGGAGCAAAATCAAGCTCATGATTTCCCGCAGTCCAAATCCAAGGCTGATAAGCAGCAACTCGTTCCGTGAATCTTCCCCAAGTGTCCCACCGTATGTTGTCATGAAATGGATAGTCATCTGCATAAGACAGATCCCCCACATACAGCACTGTCTCTCCTTTTGCTGGGCTTTTTTCATAATGGGTTAATGTGGTGTTGGAATCATAAGTTTGACCTAGATCACCTGCTCACAATGGTTCTGGTAACAAGATTTCATTCTCATAAAAAGAAAGTACATTTACATTTTCATGTAAAGTTTCTGCTACTTCATATTTTTGCGAAATAAAGCAATAGCAAAATCACTGCAGAGTGCCAAAAGTTTCAAAATTACCAACACAGTTTCTCCCACAAATTACTCGGCGCAAATATCCAATTAAAGCAACACCTCAACCGAAGATCAAACGTTGAGTTAATGAGCCATTCAAGAAGCTAAATTTAACGATATTCGTTGCAGCAAGTAGAATAATCAATTACCGATAAGGCCAAAGGTATAGGGAACATCGGGTCCAACTGGAGGAGGTGTTTTAAACCAGAACTGTCGAGTAGTGAATCCGATTCCGACCTCGTAGAAATATTTGGTGTCAAACTGTATGCGGAATAAGAATATGTTGGGAGGCCACGAACATTAATAATGTTGATATTCAAAGTTGTGACTAAAGACTAGCACGCACCTCCAAATTCTCAATTGTGCAGTGGTGGATGTAACCAGAGGTGTAATTGAAATATTTGTAAGAAAGAAAAAACCCTTGAGCTTGCTTTCTTAATCGGGAATCTTGCGCCCAGTATATGACAGTACTTGAACCCGGTTCATCTTGAGTGATCCAAGATATTATCACACCTTTCCCCAAATGATCTCCTTGTGTTATATGGACCTTCATAACATAACCCCAGGAAAAAGGTAGTTCCAGAGATTAAAAAAATAAAGGAAGGAGAATAAGTTAGCTCTGTACCTGTTGAGGAGCATTGTAACCAGGGGGTACTCGGAAAACATCACTGTCCAAGGGCATATCCAGAGAATAGTCATAATTTCTCACGAAGCTGCTGGTGATTCCGCCTTCGCTAACATGGACGATGATGCTATAAAGAAATCCAGCCACTACAAGCCCTTCGAACTTTCTCTTCCACGTCACATCCATCCCGACTTGTTTCCTTCTCCGTTCCGATACGCTTGCTCGTCTAAGTCGCGTGCATTTAATGGTTCCTTTTCTAAGCTTCTCAATAATAGAGAAGCTAACACCAACCCTCTACCGGTCGGTCTTCTCATTCCCAAAGCGCAATAGGCCAGCCGGATATTGATAATTGGATATACTATATTCCTTAAGTAAATTATTGAACTCCCGGATTAGCCAAGTGAAAAATGCTAGTTGAATTATAGATTTTGTGTTAAATAAATTTTACTATTTATCACCGATTAGTTCACTCCGGCGCATTCGTAGGACCTATCTTTCTCACTCTTTTTAAACCATCCTTGTCTTTTACCCAGACTAATTCAAGAGTCAGCTTGCGAGTATTTCTTCGAGTTTACTGAGGCTGCTTATTCAAGAAATCGGAACTCACCCTTTCCAGCAAATTATCCACTTTACTAAGAAACTTTTGATCAGAAATTGGGAGGTTCAGATTTATTTTTTAAATAGAAAAAATAATAGGATGGCTGATTTCTTAACTAAGTCAGCATTTAGTCTTAATAATGATGGTTTCAATTTGTAGTATCAACCTCCCATTACTTGATTGGACGTTGTTTTCTCTTCGGGCGTTTGGTTTTGGTGTTTTTTAGGTTTTTTTTTTTTTTTTAGATTGTTCTTTTGTATACTTTCTTTTTAAATGAAGGTCTTCAATAATTACTCAAAAAGAAGGCGAAGAAGAAGAAGAAGAACACGGACATCATTGCTTTCCGAGATATTTAAAACACACAATATTACAATGAGGCCCACTTATGCAATGGGCTATTTCCATTTTAGAACATTGGTCCAGGATGCCGTGAGCCCATACACTGAGTTCCTATGCCCTTTTATGAAGTTAAAAAGCTCGCACACCAATGGAATTGTGTTTAATCGAAATGGCTAATCCCTTATGATATGGAAAACAAGGTTTGAATACATGTTTATATTCAGTATCCAACAGTATTCCAGACAGAATTATCTTCAATAGAAAAATATCTTTGGAAACCCCCAAAAAAAAAAAACAGTAAAAAAACCCACGCTGACATTTTAGGCCTCGTAATCTTCTTACATCAATAGCAGAGCATTGGCGACTGTATTCAGATCTTGATCTAAACTTTCCATCTTACATAACAAGTAATAACCACTCAATCAGACGATTGAACAGTTTAAAAAAATATTCATTCAAATGACTCAAATTTATTGCGCCGTGAATAATATTCTTAGAAAAAGAACTTTGGAAATCAAATATCTATCATTTCATTATATATTCCCTTCTAATTATATTTATATTATTCACTTCAATGATTAATATAATATTTTAATAAATGCATAGAGTTGATAATCATTGAAGGACTGGACCTGAGAATTGCACAGGGTTTAAGGCATGAGTCGCGTTACATGTACAGCGGAACTTGCTAAAAAATTCAACATGACAATGGAAGTGTTGGCAAAAAAGTACCTATAAAACTATGAAAAGCCATACTAAGCAGAATAGTTCGCATCGGATCAAATCCAATTAAATGCCACGGTTACATTAATAAAGGAAGAATTATGTTGAAATCTTACACAAGTGAATTAATTATTATAAAGTTTATTGAGAATTGAATTTAAAAAATAATAACATATTGTGTTATCAATGGCCTTAATTCAATTATAAATGACTAATGCACTAATTAATTCTTTTATGTGAGGCTTGTATGTAATTCCCTCATAAATATTATATATATATATATATATATATATATATTCTAGCTAGATAATTATATAAGTGATTACATATTAATTAATTTACATTTTTAAAAAATGGGTTAAAATCTTTTTTTAAAAACAAAATTCACACATTTCCAATTGTATCCTTTTTATGAACTAAATATAATATTCGATTTGATCAACACACACTCATTAATTACTTGCGGCTGGAATATACTAAAGTAAAGATATGTTAAAGAATATATATATATATATATATATATAATATTTATCAAATGCTCTATATTTTAACCTAGGTGAGTTTTTTAAAAAATGCCTTATATGTATTATACAAATTTTGTCATCACTTTTATGTACTCCAATAACATACATGCATAAATATCATTAAATATCGGAGAAACTTTCAATGGTCATAAGTCATTAAAAAACACAGCTCATGGATTGACCTATTGGCCAAGTAAAGGCTTGTAATTGTTATATATTTTTAAAAGGTTAAAAAAGTGGGGTTAGAGCGTTATCTAATTAAAGTGGTCGTTTTTAGTTAAGGGGAAAAAACAAAAGGTGATAAACTTTTTTTTTTTTTTAATACGCTTTAATGATGCGGTGTGTCGGGATCCGTTGATCGAATCATACAAGTTTAATTATACACTAGAGCTTTGTCAATTTGTCCGTGTCTTTATGGGATTAATTAACAACGAGATATGTGAATGAGGGTATTGGCATCTACTCTAATAACGGCTTCATCTAACTCAACAGCTTCCCTGCCTCTTAATATATATATATATATATATATATATATATAAACCTATCGATGACTCGTTTGTTATTTTACGCTGAAGACATACATATATAGGAGCCAGTGCAGAGGGTCATGGCGCTATATATCGCACATCAGGTGTTATCTGCGACTCAGTATGCTTAAATTCCTATAACACGACAACACGTCAAGGACATATGCTTGAATGGTCACTAATAATGGTCGGCCAATATTGGCAACAAATTAATTGCACATCCCACGCTTCGAATGATCTTCTAGCTTCTTCCCCGAATGTCATTCTGCCACCCACTACCCAATCTCGGTGACAGCTTTTCAGTTATATTTGTTTCAAATTTTGCCAGCACTTTGCATGTGTAATCCACGGCCAGTAATTACTAGTTGCAGCTAATTTAGAGACCAAAATGATTCCGTTTGACTACCCAGAAAATTATCATGCCTGCGAGTTCTGTTCACGTCTGGGGAATCATTTGGGTCTCTGTTTACTTCCACAAGTCATCATGACGGTTCAGAGAACACCATCGCACAGTTACAACGTCTTAGAAAGTAATAACTTTCCTTTCGTAAATCAAACCATAAATTAACATATATATTAAAAAGCAGATGGGATTTCAGGCTCTATCGCCCCCACCACAGTGACATCCATCATTGGAACCAAATCCCATATAATCTCTCCTAAATGTCCTAGTAAAGCATGAGCATTTGATTTAACCAAAAAGCTTCAAATCAAAACAAAACCGAAGATGAAAATCGCTGCATGCACACACAAGCTTCCTGATATGGCAGTAGTATAACAAGTATACGAAATCTTGTAGTTGCTTTGAAGTTATTATGATCAGACATTTTCTGTGGACGAAGGAAGGAGTGGCTGAGTGAGTGAAGCCTTGGAGTGGCTTGTCGGCCTGGGAACGTGCTCAGGAGCAGACGACACAATCGTAAGCTGTTCCTTTTGAAGCTTCTTCTCTTCGCTTTTGCCCCACAACACCAGATACAATCCCACCACGATCAATACTGCTCCAATAATCCTGTATTTATTATAGCATAACAAACACAAATGCAGCAATTAAGTTAGTTTTCTTCTATCTTTTCTTTTTTTTTTTTTAAAACGAAGCTGAAAGCAGATAAGAAAGCTCGCATCAATGTCACAGCCCTCAATATTCAATAATACATATCGAACTTACTATTCATCATCACATCACGGTCAAACTTATAAAATATTCAAACATCAAAATAAATTATTCATAAACAAGAATGCATATAACATTACTGGGTTGTCATTAAAATAAAAATGCTACTTATAATTTTTTAAATAAGACATTTTATTAGTCATTGTCAGTGAATATTTTGTTTGAGTAGTCCTTGACATGATTCTCCCAATATATACACACACTCCTACATTTGATCTAGAGAGAAAGAGGGGGGGAGTAAATTGAATTTAAAGAATTGATAGAGAAAAAGTCAAAGTACGGACCCGCCCAAATAGAACTGTTCGCCTAAGGCAATGGAAGACATGATTGCCACAACAAGAGTCTGAACAGGTTGGTACACGGCAACGAACACAGGGCCGCCTCTGTCAATGCACCATATCTGCACGGCGAAGGCAATTCCGGATGCCACCACTCCCTGAAATTCATCAAACGATTAATCATTTACTTCTTATCATTAATTCCACCATGAAATGGGTTACAAGAGGTTGGTAATCAAATACATACAGCGTAGAGAATAGTGAAAGCTTCTCCACCAGAGTGGAAAACCCAAGCCTGAGCGTCTCTTTCAAAGATCAAAGCGATGACCAGAAACTGAATGAGGCCAAAGAAACATGTGTAAGATGTGACAGAGAGGCGAGCGGGGTACTTCTTCAGAACTGGTGCTTGCATCACCAGCCAGGCCGACCAGGACAAGCAATGACCTATGAGGTAGATGCAACCAAGGGTCCAGCTCTTTCCGTTGGCATCTCCAAGTTCCAGTGACCCAAACAAAGATATTGAAGTATCCTGTAGATGTGGCACCGGGCTGTATATGGTTGGACCCTTGTATAGTGTTATCACGGTCGCCCCGGCTACACAGAATATAGTTCCAGCCACCTTAGCCATCCCGTCTCTTCTGTTCCACCTTACTTTCTCAATCCTGAAATATCATCAAGGTCAAGCGCACTGTTAATTACACGGACTAAATCAATGCAAGTCTGAAAATTATTAAAGTTGGGGTTGAAGAGAGAAACTTGCCCGAATATGGCTGCCATGAGGAAGGTGATAGCCGGCACGGAGTTCTGAATTGCTGATGCGAATGTCGGAGATGTGTTGTCCAAGCCAAGCAAGTAGAAGCCCTGGTTTGCTGTGATCCTGTTATAATTACACAAAATAAACTAGTTAACTAGCTAACCACCTACATACTATATATCCAGTCTCTTGGCTTCCTCTTTTCTACGCATGAGAGATGTATTACCCGATAAGTGCGAGAAGAAAGAACTGGAAGGTGAAGTTCCAGCTAATGGCAGGCCTATCCTTCCTGAACAGAAAAAAAGAGGTGTTACATTAATGACGATGAAGGAAGCAAAATGAGAAGGAAGAGAGATCAAGAGAGGAGGAGAAAGAAGGATGAGAACAAGTACTTTTCGATGAAGTAAGCGAAGGGAAGGAGGAGAAGCAAAGCAATAATGTTGCGATAGACAGGGAAAACAAGTTTGCTAATGCCCATGTTGAGGGCAGCTCTGGAGACGACATGGAATCCAGCGTAGCCAAACTGCAGGGCCAGCATGGCGCCATGCAGCTGGAGCCGCTCTGGAATAGAACACCACATTCTCTTGGACCCTGGCTCAGCCATGGCAAAGCTCAAACCTTGCTAATACTATCTAGCCTTACTAGGAGTGGAAGTGCTGGGCTGAGGTGGAGAGAAGAGTCAAGAGTACGGTCTATAAATAGAGGCCAGGGAGGGAGAGAATGATCCGAGAATATGCAGAGATAGCAAGTAGGGATAGGCCCACACTCTCCTAAAAAGACGATATGGTAACTGTTTATTGCCTTCCAGTGTTTTTCCTTGTCTCCCACATCCTCTCACAACACGACCCCTAAGTCCACTCCTTTGTAATCGATGGCTGGGCTTCATCCTTCCCCCGCATTTCATTAATTTTGTTAAACGAATATGAAGCCTTAATTGAATCACAAATACGAAGTTTTAATTTGCTGCTAGCTTGTTAGCATTAATAAGATGGAAAATCAACTCAGCAGAAATACCATGGGAATAAATTGAAGTCAAATTCTTGATAGAATGACTTATACCAAATTGCGTGATTAATGATGATGATGATTGAACAATAGCTAAGCCGCCATTGATAGATAGAGCGCGCACGAGGGGGGTGGTGGGCACCTCTCATATGCCTTATTCCCACCCAAACACCCTTTTCCCCACCCAATACCCTCACTTCTCCTTTTTCTTTTATTATATATTTATATCTTCTGCTAAACTATATATTATACTCGTATTTTATATTTTTTTTTACAACTACGGACATTTACAATTTACAGTACCTCTTTTTTTTTTTTGCTTCTCTCTTTAGCAATTTTCTATTGCTCCCATTAAATCATTACAAAGCCGTACGCGTACCTCCCTTTTTTCCCTAGTTTCTCTGATCAATCTTAGCCATTCAATCGATCATCATTACTCTGCTAGTGCCACAATTTTTTTTAAAAAAAAAAATGGAACTGCAGCTTCACTTTCCCTTAAAGATGGATCATGGGGCACCGGCCAGTGCTATTACAATATGAGAAATAAGGTTTCCGGTGAATGTTTTGGTTGGCAAAGGAGAAAGATAAAATAACGTGAACGTTTGGCACACGCCAAAGGAACGAGTATATATGTCCAATCCTCTCATGACCATGAAGTGATTGAATCCAGGGACTCTTTTAGAAATGAAAATTGTAGGTCATGTTTTGACACACTTGGACGCCAGACCTAAAAAGAATTGAATCCTACGATGTTATAATAACCGTAATAAGGACGAGTCATGAGATTTTAAGGATATCACATTCCCATAAAAATGATTCCCATACAGAAGAGGAAGGGAACGCACGCATGATTTAAAGCACAGTCCTCGAGTAGCGGATAACCTAATCCTGAAAAGCCCCTCGAACATAGCATGATGGTTAAGATCATGGGGTGGATCCTACAGTTAAGAGGATGATCCTCCTTCAATCCGAAAAAGCACAACTAGGAATGCGAAAAGTAGCAGCCAACGGGAAGAAGATCAGACCCACAGTCTTTTGAATGTTAATTCAACCTTTCTCTGCTTAAGTATAATAATAATTAATGAAACGGATTTGTAGTGAAAGCTGGAATTTAGCAGTCACTTTCCTGCATAATCAAATGGATTACACGCTGTCAAAGAAAGCTAATCAATGAAGTGTTTCCACTAAGGTTCCCCACCTCCCACTCCCACAGCATCTCTCTCCCTTTAGCAGACACATGCTGCCCCTCTCTCTGATCATTTTAACTCGTCACATGATTTTGCATTCTCTTGACTTTTAATCAATTTGATTAATTGCATTCCGTGTAGTGTAATTAATTCCTTCTGTTTTAATATCTGATAATGTTCAAGCTGAGGACAGCCCAAAACCTGGTCATGATTGTAGTACATTGCTGAAGATGAAATTAAATGTAACACACGATATGGGAACTGCATTATTGACACCGTTAATTCACAGGGTTTAGTAATTGCAACAAAGGGTGGATTTCTGTAGAGTGATGCTAACATTACATGTGAGATAGCAGTAGATTATGGTGGCAAAGGAAGGAGGAGGTTAATGTTGTGTGGTCCAACAGCGGTACTAGGAGTGGCGGGATTCTATGTAAATATAGGCCAACAAGCATGCTTAGAAGCACAGTGCATTGCTACCCACCATCACAACGTGGGTCGCTTTCATTTGACTCTGTTTCATTCTAAAACAAACAAGCTTTGGAAACATATTCGCGCTCTGTCCCGTGCTAATTTGCAAGCTTCCGGCATAATGTGTTAAAGGCGCTCTTTTGTCATAGTATATCTATAATAATCTCCGAAGATCAGCTTTATTCCTGGGCACAGTATTAATTAACTAGGTAGGAAATTCTCCTTAATACTGATATTTGAAGAATGAATCATAATTAATTAGCGGTTAGTTAACGAAGGAAGGAAATAAAGGGAATGATGGAGGAGGAGCATGCAGTGAGGTAATAATAATGTAAGAGGAGTGGCATGAGGGGGAGTGGGAACTGCAGGTGCGTGTGTGTGTTGGGGGTGACACGATGGTGAGCAGCGATGATTAAGATGTTGAAAAAGAGGAGAATTGGAAAACGAGGAATCGAATCGATCAGGATATCCTCACGCTAATGTTCATCCTCACGCCCCCAACATGATTCATTACCCGCACACACTCAAAACCCTGAATCAATATTAAGAATTCTAATAACTAATATTCCTCAATGGATAAGCTTATAAACTAATATTCATTAAAATTACAAAATAAAAAATGACTTGTACTAGTACTCCTAGTGATAAGCTTATTCTAAACCGAGCAAAGTATGGATTTACAATCACAACTACGCTCCCTTTTTCGATTTATAATGTTGATTGTTGAAAAAATATTATTGTATGGTGTTCATTACAAAATTATTAAATAGATCCTTTAAATTTGTGATTTCCCTTGAATGTAAAAAATATATTCTTAGAACAACTCAAAAGGCAAAGTTAAAATTTGGGAAAATATGAATCTCTATATTTTAAGAACCTAACTCTATCAAATAAAATTAACGTGAGTTATAAGAACTTTTATTATTTAAAGGTTTGAATTCTAATTTTTGTACACATTCTCATTTAGTTGGGAGAAGCCTGCTTGTGTGTTTTATTGTTGGTAGAATATACTTCTTATATTTTTTTTAAAAATAATTAACTCATTTTTATGATTTTAGGAAAAAAATTAAAATACATAATTATCAACTCTGTTGGCTAGGCCGGAGTTGTGGCGGGACCAAAGTAACCCAGTCAGTCGCATTCCTACACCTAGCATTATAGGTTCTTGTTTTTGGGTCTTAGCACGTCTCCGCCTTATTATGAGGCTAATTGTCTAACTCCAAGGTACAGTTTAATCCACTGATGTTTCTTTCTTCCCTCCTTTTTTTTTCGCCTTTTGCCCTTTTTTTGGGTATAGTCGAGTGACTTGATCCCTTTCGAAATGGAGAGCGTATAAGTAGATATTATATCGTATATTTTTAGAAGGTGTCTTTTTTAATGCATATAGCCAAAAAAAAAACCTCTAATTAACTGTGCTGGACATCACTAATTCAGTGCCTTTTTTTGGGGGGGGGGGGGCTTTGTTGGGATGGAATAAAAACCTCGATCTGCTTCTGCCCGCATACCCATTGATCTCATCCTCTTCAATTCACACGCCTTCTTTTGATTTCATGCGAGTTCTCGGTTAAAAAAAAAAAAAAGAAGCAAACATTTTTAATCAATGGGTTTTGATTCCAAATGTTTCCGTCACTCCGTCTTTTTGACCGCATCCCAATCAATCTTTCCTTATCATTGCGGATATAGCTAGCCATCGATTGTCCAGATATATCATCAATTTTCCCATGAAATCTTTCTTTCCTAGTTTCTCTCCCTCTCCCACCTTCATCTTTAGTAACAATATATAACTCCATTTCAATTTCCACCCTTTCTACATATATATATATATATATATATATATATTATTTTTCTCATTTTGAGTGTGCGTGTGCGCGCGTATCATTAATATGTTCCGCGACGTCACCTATTTTGATTTATATTTTCCTCGGTGTCGTTAATATTATATTATTTTTCGCATCATTTATACATGGATGCGTCCATTAATATGTTCAAGCCCCTTATTTTTATTTTAGTGCCTGTCCATTCCAGAAAAATACAAGCATCTTCTAATTGATAATTTGTGTGTGTGTGTGTGAAATGCCACGATTTAATTAATTAATAAGATTTTGAAGCAATCATGTCCAGAAACAACTGGATGGCGGAGACTTGGACGTCCAAACAAAGACAGGGTAACCAACCTAATGGTGTTGAGAATAAGAGTTGGGTTTAAGGGACTATCTATTTTAGTTATGTTTTTATAAAAGTTTAAACTCTGATTTGAGCGACCTGCGACCCTTTCATATTCATTTTTTTCTTAAAAAATAAAATATTTTTAATTTTTTAAATTGAATTTAAATTTTAAAACATGTGTTTATATTTTACAATTAGAACTTCTATTCTTTATTTGAAATTTTTGAACATTATATTTTATATTTTAAAAAAATAAAAATATTATAATTGAATGTTTTGATTTTAGAATTTCAAAAAAATAAAAATAATAATAATAACAAGTTCACAGGCCTTGTCCTAAACTTTTTTTATAAGGATTGAATTTTAAAAAATTAAGCATTAAAAAAAATAAATGTAAGAACCTGAGTCCTTAAAAGATAGGCCCATATGTATGAATTGTAACACACCAAATTTTTTTTTTTAAATAATTTAACTCAATCATAATTGGGTTACAGCCACCCATCACATTTTTATATCAATAATTTCAATATAAAATATTTTATAATTGGCTTCAACTCATACACTATAACATTTCAGAGAAATTTTTACCTCCCACATTCCATTAGGCTAAATCACATTTGTCCATCCTTATACTCCCAACAAGTAAACTAAATCACATTTGTCCATCCTTATACTCCCAACAAGTAAAATAAGCAATTTAGTCATTTTTCAACATAAACCAGTTATTTGACCTTATAATCATGCCATTTTAACCAATTCAAAGTAAACCAAATATTAAAATTACAGTCATCCAAATTGTACCAAAAATAGAAATAGTTTGAAAAGCATGATTACATTTATATATTCATAT